TTAAACCTTTGCCCCTCTAATTTAAGACTAAGTCCACTTGTTGTGGTAGTTTTTCTTCTTTTAAATATAGTCTCCTCCTTTACATTGTTGATTCCCTTTATGTATTTAAATGTTTCTATCATATCCCCCCTGTCTCGTCTTTCCTCCAAGCTACACATGTTAAGTTCCTTTAACCTTTCCTTGTAAGTTTTATCCTGTTATACATGAACCAGTTTAGTAGCCCTTCTCTGAACTCTCTCTAAAGTATCAATATCCTTCTGGAGATGCGGTCTCCAGTACTGCGTACAATATTCCACGTGAGGTCTCACCAATGTTCTGTACAATGGCACGAGCACTTCCCTCTTTCTACTGCTAATACCTCTCCGTATACACCAAGCATTCTGCTAGCATTTCCTGCTGCTCTATTACATTGTCTGCCTACCTTTAAGTCTCCTAAATCCCTTTCCTCAGATGTTGAGGTTAGGACTCTATCAAATATTCTGTACTCTGCCCTTGGGTTTTTACGTCCAAGATGCATTATCTTGCACTTATCCACATTAAATGTCAGTCGATACAATTGCTACCAGTACTAGAAAATAGAGTTGTGCACAGTGAAATCATTTGGTTAGTCTGAATCAGGAAAAAAATAATTGGTTTGGCATTTAGTTTTGTTCAAATTTCATCAATTCAATCATTTCTGACGAAAACTATTTAGATGAATCAAAACCTTTTGACAGAGCAAGTGTTAATCCTGTGGCAGCTGACCAATAAAAGGACGGTTTGTGGGCTGGTGGGGGTATGTCTACTAAGTAGTCAGCCAACAAATGGGGAAGGGCATGTATAATGTTATTGTGCCATTGTCCACACCCCCGCCCCCCCGAATTGTCCACCCCCAAATAGTTAATAGCAACAGATGGTAAAGGTTTTCTAACAAAGGTCCACCCTTGCATTTTATGTTGACCCTGTTCATGTCTGCCTCCACTTACACTGTCCATTTTTTAATAAAAAGGCATATTTATTCTCATTTCAAATTCAAATAGCAACTCCACCAAGACAATATAAAAGGTTTGTTCTGTGCACGTGCACCTGTGATCTTTTGCCCTTAGTTTTTCGAATGCACCTGACTTTTGATATTTTACAAGTATTTAGTGAAAACCTTGCTTAAAAGTAGGCTTCAGTACATATTTAATGTATATTCAGATCGCAAATTACCATTTAGCATGAAATCATCTCCTATTAATGTTTACGGTAGTTGTTTAAACTGCTGATAATAATTTTTACAATAACTGACAGGTCAGTAAATTGAGACATGTACAGAAACAAACCTCATGTCAGGACATAATTCTATGTTTCAGCTTAATGGAAAAAATGGAGAACAAAGACTGCAATCATAATATGAATTTATTAATAAATATAGATACAGCCCAAATAATGTGAAGGGATACATGTGACTATTTCATTGGGAATCTCGTGTCCAGATGAGCATTGATATTCTGACTTACTAAATAGCCAGTATCTGCAATAAACACTTCAATTGTACAATAATAGTAAAACAAACATTTCCGAAGGATCACGCACAACACTGCTGCTGCTACTCTCAAGGGCAAAAAAATCCTAACACTAGAAACAGGGAGAGGTGACATCTGCTTAAGTAGGCATGCCATATTTTGACACACATTTTGGAAACACTATACAGAAAGAGCTGAATTAGAGTAAAAATGAGATGAAACTGCAGCATTTTTTTTTTCATCCAGCACTGATCAAAGCCACGGAGAGCTCATTAGATACGGTGCTGAAAGAGAACAAAACTTCACAGCTTTTGTAAAACCCATGGTTCTTTTTTTACCTTTTCTGATCACTCTTTTCTTCTTCCATGATCAGCTGTCATCCGGATAGAACTCAGTCTTATTGCTCCAACAAGCAAGTTATAATTGCAGTTTCCCCAACCAACTTCATGCTATATGTTTGTCCCTGTACCAGTTCTATCTAATTATCTTGAAATATACACCGGAATTGTCTTAGCATATCCTCACATAGTATAAAAAATCATTTCATTTAAACACTGATTTTTTTTTAATCTAAATCAGTATATTCTATGGGTATATATGGCATATGCACACTTTAAAGATTTATATGGTCTCTCACCCTCTCAGCTTTACTTCATTCAATATTAACGTGCCCCGACAGGATTGTATATTGAATATTTATTGTTGCGAAGAAACTGTCCCTTTAGGGTGATACGTTGCTGTTTCTAAAGATGTTGTTTTGTTGTTCTTTTCTTAGCAGTTTAAAATTAATGCTTAGTTGATTCACATTCAAATTATTACTGTTACATAGTTCAAATTTTTGTTTTAGCCTAACTTTAAATAGCGAATCAGTCAGCATCACACATTGATACACGCAGCTGGCCAGAAACTCCCCTTTGAAATTCATTTTGGGCCTGTTCAGGTAGACAGGATAGACATCTATCAAAATCTGTTTGTTGAACACCAGACATAAAAGGGATACTGTAAGCATCAAATCAACTTAAGCTTAATAAAATGGTTTTGGTGTATCATATTCTTGCATTAAATGACAGAGCTTGGACCAGGGTTGCCCAAAAGGTAGATCATCAAATGAAGAATTACAACGCTCACAATGCTGTTTTCAGTTTTTAGATTCTAAAGACTAACAAAGCATGATGAAGGTTGTAGTTTCTCAACATCTGGGGATCTACCTTTGGGCAACCCTGGCTTAGAGTGTCCTGTTAATACTCCCAAAATGATGTGGACTGTATTTTTGTTTAATCTAAATAGGTATATTTCATTAAAGAGACAAGAAAGATATAATATAATAGTGAGAACCCTATAATATATAATAGTGAGACCCTAAGACATATTTACATCGGTTACAGTCCATAATGAATGCGGCAGCGAGGCTCATCTTCCTCTCCGCCCGCACCTCCCATACCTCACACTTCTGTCAGTCCCTACATGGGCTTCCTATAAAACAGCGGTTCTCAAAGTGTGGGTCGCGACCCACTGGTGGGTCGCAGGGTGATTCCCAGTGGGTCGCACTGACCCACACATGTAGGGCTGCCGACACCAGGATGGGGCCCGGCGGCTTGCCCTGGATGCCACCGGGCTCCCTCCAATCAGTCTGCCCAGCACCTCCGCTCTGTGCCCTACCTTTTTTAAACATCCCTGGTGGTCCAGTGTCCTCCCTGGTGGGTCTCCGGTCTGTAGCTCCGCCGGGTGCAGAGCTGCAGACCCTGTGATAGAAGTCTCGCGAGCACCCAGAGCGTCACCATGGCAACACTCTGGGAGCTCGCAAGACTTTTATTACACAGTCTGCAGCTCTGCACCCGGCGGAGCTACAGACCGGAGACCCACCGGACCACCAGGGAGGACACTAGACCACCAGGGATGTTTAAAGAAGGGCACAGAGCCCAAACAATGCCCCCCCAACCCAATGTAACCCATTCTTTGCCTACCGACCCCACTGTAACCCCTTCTTTGCCTACCCTCCTCACTGTAACCCCTTCTTTGCCTACCCTCCCACTGTAACCCCTTCTCTGCCTACCCTCCCCACTGTAACCCCTTCTTTGCTTACCCTCCCCACTGTAACCCCTTCTTTGCCTGCCCTCCCACTGTAACCCCTTCTCTGCCTGCCCTCCCCACTGTAACCCCTTCTCTGCCTACCCCGCCACTGTAACCCCTTTTCTGCCTACCTTTCCCACTGTAACCCCTACTCTGCTACCCCCCACAGTAACCCATTCTCTGCCTACCCCCCCACTGTAACCCATTCTTTTGCCTACCCTCCCCACTGTAGCCCTTCGCCGCGCACTGTAACCCCTGCCTTCTTTTGCCTACCCTCCCCGCCAACCCTTCTCTGTCACCACCTCCCCCCGCAAGCCGCCTCCTGCCCCCACTGTAACCCCTTCTCTGCCTACCTTCCCCACTGTAATCCCTTCTCTGCCAATTGTATGCATCTAAAGCGGATTTCCATGGTGTGCCAATTGTATGCATCTAAAGCGGATTGCTATAGTTTGCCAATTGTATGCCTCTAAAGCGGTTTGCCATGGTGTGCCAATTGTATGCCTCTGAAGCTGATTGCCATGGTGTTCACTTTTTAAAATACACATTAAAAGCAAGTGGGTCTCAAAAAATTACCGTTTTGAAAAGTGGGTCTCGGCCCATAAAAGTTTGGGAAGCCCTGCAATAAAATATAGAGCTCAATTTAAAATTCTGGTTCTTGCTTTCAAATCACTACATAATGCTGCTCCCACCTATCTATCCTCCCTTATACACAATTATGTCCCGTCTAGGACCTTACGATCTGCTGAAGACTTACGTCTATCTTCAGTCTGTACTCCCACCTCTGATGCTCGCCTTCAAGATTTCTCGAGGTCTGCACCGTTCCTGTGGAACTCGCTTCCCTCCTCCATTAGATGCTCACCCAGTCTCCACTCCTTTAAAAAATTGTTAAACACCCACTTCTTCATAAAAGCGTATCAATTAAACTGTTAATAGCTCCTGACTGATTCCTCTTCTGCAACTGTCACTAGTCTAATCCTTACATTTTTGTGTCATTTTACCCCACTGCCTCTAGCATGTAAGCTCATTGAGCAGGGCCATCAACCCCTCTGTTCCTGTGTGTCCAACTTGTCTG